GCGCGTGGTGCCCATCGTCGAAATCGACGGGGTAAATGTCGTGTGTGTGTGTTTAAATTACTCCCTCAGAGCGGACAAGTTTCTCCGCCTAGAAAATATTCTAATATTGCAGGTCAGAGGTAAAGTAATGTCGATTATTTGCACTGTTGACAGGCCTCTCCTCCGTAGCTCTATCCACAGATTACGCGGCATGGAATCGGCGCGTACCCTTGTGACTATTCAACATCAAGTCAGTTCAGCTATATACGTCAGGGTAGTGCAGCATAAGTTTAAAAAAAACAACCAAGGAAAAAACGTTGCAGGGGAAGGAGGAGGAGGGGAGCTGAGGATGTATAGACAGCTCCGAGCGGGGGCGGGGAGAGATGATGAATTAGACTAAACTTGTGTTATGGAGACAGAAAGAGGGAAGAATGTGCCAACGGGTTGCGTTTGTTGGTGCTTCGCTCTTAAGGGACGTGGTAGGATGCAGGTAAGAACATCAGGGAACAGCTTCGTCAGAGTAGATGGAGGGCTTTAACGAGCGCACAAGGTTCAGTTGGCTAACCGCATGGCCACCGCCACTGTCATCACAAGTGCCTGCTGGGGCATGGATTTGGACGGTCTTGCCAGCATCTTTTATATGGATTGAAACCCTTGACTGACGTCCAGTGAAAACGGACACATGGACGGCTGAAAGGGAAAAAAAGATATGCCTAAAATTGTAGCTACTACGCACCCGATCAGCGAATTCCTAGAACGTCGTCTGAAGTTGGCTATTGCGCACACCTACACAGCGACCAAGATCAAATTAACTTTCTTAAGCATTCTGCTTCTTGGTCTTGAAGACAAGGATAGGCTGCCCTCTCAGACTTATTCTGCACTCGAACACTCACTGGCTACTTTGGAGCAGTTTATGTCGACTGGAAGCCTAAGTACCCATCCGGGTGGATGCGGGGGCGCCACCCGGTTTGGCTAAATTACTGAATGGGGAAGACCATAGCTAGAGCAATCTTTATTTATTTGGTCGACAGCGCTCACCGAGTAGACCATCAAACACTTCGAGTCATATGAAAGACATTGGCAAGATCGTCCAAATGCATGCGCCAACGGAGACTTGTGATGACAGAGGTGATGGCCATACGGTTAGCCAACCCCAATTTGTGCCTTCGTCAAAACCCTCCAGCTACCCTGACGTAGTTGCTGCCCATAGGCTCTAACCCGCATCCTCCCATGTCGCGTTACAGTGACAAAACATAAACACAGCCCACTGGCACATTCTTCTCTCCTCCCGCCGAAACTGGACCATAATAACTTCCCCCCTCCTCCTGTTCCACCAAACACCTTCAGTCCTCATCACTCTCCTCATCTCTCCTTCGCTCAGTGGCTGCTTTTCAATTTCCGCCGCGCTACCGTGAAGTACACTGCGGTACTGGTCTGATAATGAATAATCGAAAACACACCTCTGCCGGTTCTAAAGAGGTAGTAGCATCAAAGACAGACGGCGCGGAGCAATCATTACAAAAATTAAACTTCTACAGAAATGCAGACAGACATACAAAGAGAAGAAGACACTATTAACAAAAGGAAGGATTATAAAAAAGGGGAAGAAAGTAGGTAACAGAAAAATATACAAAAATAAGTAGCCATAACCTAAAATTTACTAATGTTGTTAAGGTAGGTGGTAAACAGTGCTGAAGATGGCACAGACCAATAAGAGAAACTGCCCTTTCCAAGACCGGCAACGCATAAGGTTACCAACGGAGTTCTTAGAAGCACCTTTTAACCGCAATAAAAAAAACAAATCAGCAGACCCACAAGCGCGTTTGCTTTTCCTTTTCCTCACAAAGAAGGTAACTGGGAAAAAAGTCCGCTACCGTCGGGACAGACAAATCGAGGGGGCACTCACCGTCCAAACAGGTCGTTAAGGAGATAGACCAAGTGCGAAGCTGATTTGTTTGAGCTCATCTTGGTGAAGCCCACAATGTCGGCGAACAGAATGCTCACGTTCTCCATCTGGCTGACATGGAACTTCCGGAAGCGGACCGCCCTACCTGGCACTGGCGCATTGGGCGAAAGACTTTGATCCACACTCGATACCGACCACTGTTCAGCAGAGCCTAGGAAAGAGGTCGAAAGAGAAGACGGAAGAGGGTTTAGGGCAAGCGACGAAGATTATTTTTAGATAATTTTGCATACTCGACCTCAAACCTCCGGCGAACTGACATGTCGGTTTTCCGGTGTCAATACCTAGTAACTGTTAAATGACCCCTAACGTGTCTCTATTACTTGTTGGGAATACTTCCGAATGAAAAAAATTATTGGCCAATACGCAACTGCGAATTTACGTTCAATAGGGGACAGATAAGTGAAACAGCTTCGAATGTGGGTTTGTATGCTTCTAGGGTGATGCGCAGTTTGCAGGCAGTCAGGGAAAAAACGGTTAATTATATTAATCTAATTGTCAAATATACGGAACTGCATAAAACCAATTAACCTATTAAATTGACTTCGGTTTGTGTGCAAGGTCTGAAGGGAAATGATTGACGGACTGTTAAAATGCGGTGGGTAAAACGGGGAAAGAAGAGCAGTGTGCGTATTCACCTCACGGAATTCATGCCCAAGGTCGGCATGTGCAGCTCATACGGGAAATGTGTGTGAGAGAGAGAGAGAGAGAGAGCGGGCGAACGAACGAACGTGAAGTACGTAGTGAGTTAATGTGATAAACGCGAAAAAACGGAATTCAGTTCAGTTGTACTAAGGGAAAGATAGACAAACGCCTTTGAGCTCCCTACTAGTAATACAGTGCCTAAGAAATGCATTGCTACAGCAGAAAATTTAAAAAAGAAGTTGTTTACATGACTGCATACGAAGAGCGAGCAGCTGTAGGTTAGACGGAAAGAGAAAACATACACCAGTAGTACGTGTAAGTTAAAAAAAGTAACTCTTACAACCAAAGAGACCACTTTACTTGCACTTCAAACCTTTTCGGCGAAATCTGATACCACGGAAGGGTTGTGTTTGGCAGCCGCGTTAGACTCTGTGATTGGGTTTTTACATAATTACCTGCGATCGTTGATTTTGAAAGAGCAGTAGTTGATGTTTTAATACTTTCGTCAATTATGCTTCTGTTTAGTCCAAGGTTGGGTGTTGAATGCTCTATTCAAGTTATCACCTTGGAATATGTGACATTCACGCACCCCCGCCCCCTTCGGGCAGGTTGAAAGATATTCTTTGGAAATGAATTGGCCAGAGGATAACATTTATAAGCAAAAAACCAATTACCGCGACAAGTAAATGAATAATTCAACATTTCTCCGTCAAACCAAATGCTTGAGATGAACCGCCTTAGCAGATTCAAAAACCTGCACTTGGGATATTCATACGATGCCACCTATGTAAAGGGTTATTATGGCCCGAGCGGAACAAGTTAGCCTGTCAGTTTTCAATGCTACGAGTTTTAGCGTATCGTTAGAGATTCGGGCGCATAAACTTGCTCATAGTGAAGGATATGCGTCGAGTGCCGTGGGAAAGAAGCATTCAGATTCAATCTCACGCTTTCCTTTCGCAGATATTAGTCTACTAGCTAAGCCAACTGGCCATCTGATGCAGCGGTAAAGTGCGAGCGACTGGTGCGGCGTGAGCCTGAGCCTAGGCGTGCAACCACACCCTCCATGTGTGGCATTTATTATAGATGTGTGGACTCTGCGCAGATTGATGAGTACGTGTCTTGCCCCAATCTAGTTGCAATCGTGGTCCAGTTTATCTGCGGCATGGCCCTTCGTGAGGATAGCGCATAGTATACATACATAACACTAGCATGTATGGAAATGTATGCGCGTGGTGGGCGCGTGAGGGTTGTTTTTCGGGCAAAATGGGTGACCTTTTTTGACCTTAATGATCAGACCGTCACCTGACCGTCTTTGCGTTGGGTCACCAGCAATTCCCTTCATGACTACCAGACTGGACCGAATACAATAAACTTTAATCTCTTTATCCATTTGATTAGCTACGGGAGTCAAAATGAAATGCGTCTGACCCCGCATCTTTAGGCCAGTACATTGAAACCCTGTCTAGGTCGAATCGGCAATACGTGCATTCACGATAGCCAAGTTCATTCCGATGTTAACACGGCAAACTCACAAGCTAAGTCCGTAAAACTCGACTACCATCATCTCTGAGAAGAAGGAAATCGAATCGCCGGAACAAGGACTTTCTTGGCCTGATGTTTCGAATTCCTGTCCGAGCCCATCATCAGAGACGGTGCCAGATACGGTTATTTCATACAAAAGGGGTTACAGCATTCGTAGACTGCAGTCGCTGTGCCACCACACCATACGCAGCTCAGCTGTCGATTCCGACGATGCCCATCATGTGCTCTGCCGCAGCATGGGGGAAGGGGTGATGGTTTGTACATTAGTTAGTCAATGGTGATATTGGACTTGCGCAGCATCTTTCGTGGTGTCGCCTGCTTCACCCACTTGGGCCCGGTGTGATTGTGAAATCAAGAACACCGGAGGCAGGATTGAACAAACGTGGCTGACACGGTGTAAGCCTGCGCCTAGGCGTGCCCCCACACCAGGTGTGGCATTTGCTATGGGTGGGCAGGCCGAATAATGCGTGCCATGCCCTACTCGGACCCCCATGTTGGCTAACGTGACCTGTTGTAGTGCATAGGCCTTGCTACTAACAATATAACGCGCTTTTAAACTACCACAGTACGCTGAAATCCGTGGCTCGGAGGACTGTCAACTGCTGAGATAACTTGGTCCTCCCAGGACGAAGAGCCATGCTACAATTGCACCGCCTTACTGTGATCCCTATCGTTATTCCCGCTCAGGTAGGATCCGAGCCGAAGATTTCTTGTTTCTATGAACATTTGGTTTGTCGTGCACGGACCAGTCGTGTGACGCGCGTAGGCGGGCCGCTAAAATTTGCCAGTCACTGCGCCCGATCCCATCTGCGGTCTTTTTGATTGTCCTCCCACTGAGCTGAGACGGGTGATGTATGAGAGAGCGCAGTGGATGCAACGTAAATTTACTACTGCTATAAACTAACTCACGTATAATGCACCACCTCTACACTCACCATGTGCTGCGGGACGCACGGTGAGCATAGTTGTGCGCGACGGTCAAACTGACTAATTAGAAACAAGTGTCGGCAAGCGTACTTTGAAGTTGTCGAGGCGACACGGATAAATGACCTTTAGACTTCCTACAGATAAAAAAAACAGTTCAATAATTGCACGGGGCTCAAGCTTTAGAGTTCTCATGCCAATGCATTTGCATGGGCATGGACAACTGCGTGTATATGGATAGGTGCAAATAAACACCAAAGTGGAAAAACAAGGTTGTCAGTTTCATTCAATGTCAAAATTGGCTAAAGGTCACAATTGGCGCTAAAGTGGTTTTGCTAGGACAACAAATCACACATAAGCATCACAATTGAGTATTTGGGAAAGGTGAACTGTAGTTGGAACAGATATTCGGGTTTATTTATCTGACGGAACGACTTCTGGGCCTCAATGACTATAATAGGATCTTAGTTACCATGATAGTTTAGCTTTCAAAGTTTGCCTGTCATCTCAAAACGAGAAAGGTTTCGTCTGGTGCAGTGGAATTAACAACAAAGTTGTTGGTAACACCGTCTGCCGACGCGGCGTTTCACCCTCCTGGGCAAACGCCAAAACTAAATTCCTTCTGAACAAAACCGATTTTCTGCGAATTTAGAAAATACCGAATAAATATAATAAAAATGAAAGGTTACCGGACAATAAGGACCAATTCGCGAAATGGTAGAGCATTCGTTGCCTTTGACTTTCTAGAAGAGTTTGCCTTTCTTGTGGACGTCTAACGTGCCCGATTACTCTACACGAAAAATGACTTACCACTTCCTGGTTTGAGTCCCTATACAGGTTTGCTCATCTATTATGGTTACAGTTGTAGCTCTCCTGTGTCGGGAGTTCCCCTCCGACATCCCCACATAACAAACCACTGATTTTGCAATCCTAAGGTTCCCCCTGCATTGCATCTGCACACATCGAAATTTCCTGTGTTCCTTCGACCTTGAGGTTTGGCGCCAGTTCGCTTGCAGGCTGCGAAGGCGCAGTTTGAACATACACAGGGACTTGGCAATGTGCGTAAATCAGCCCTCTGAAAAATAACTAACCTTTATTTAGCTAATGCTTCTAATTACGTTAAAAAACGTAATGAGTAACACCAGCAAGAGGGTTTAGCAGGAAACACGTCGTCCTTGGGTCTAGTATAAGAAACTATTCCAAAGAGGCGATTGAGAGCGACCACAAAAGCCCAAAATTAACGTGGACAGTTTCGAAGTGAATATCAGCCTGAAGGCCAGTAAGTATTGCGCATTGAGAATAGGACTACGATTTGAGTACTTAGGCAGAATGCAGGAAGATTGTGCAGCCCGATGAGATATCGAAGTTGAGATGTCTGCTATGGAGAGAGCGGAGTTTGCCTATCGGAAGCACAGTGATAGTTTACGTGTGGTTAGGAAGTTGTTTAACAAGTTTCTGGCCCACAGTCCCAGGTCGCTACCCACACTCTGGAAGAAGGCCACGAAGTCAACTTCTCGAACACACGGATAATGGCACGGACCAATAATAAGACGGGACGCGAACTGCTGGAGGCCTGTGTGTCAGATCCTAACTCCATAAAGAGGCATGTGGATATACCGCCCTGTTATTTTGCCATCCGTGCCCGTGGCCAGAAACCAGGGCCCAGTTCCTCTACAAGCATGCAGGCTACCACGTCGAGGTCACACGCCGTTACTCCAGGGACGCACGTCGGAGACACGATAAGATAGC